GGACCACCACACTGCCACAGCCTCCTTCATGAAGCACCTAGAGAACGAGCAGAAGGCCAGGGGCGGTTGCCCTGCTGACTGGCCCTGGATTGTGCCCCCCATCTCGGGCAGCCTCACTCCTGTCTTCCATCAGGAGATGGTCAACTATTTCCTGTCCCCTGCCTTCCGCTATCAGGTGCCCACCCCAATGGCTCCTGCCCACCTGGGCCCAACTTTCACCAAGAAATCCTCAGAGCCTGCTCACCCTATCTGTTCTTTCTCCCCTCCTTGTGTGCCCTGTCCCTTCCCTGCAGCCAGACCCCTGGAAGGGGAGTGGAGCCAAGGGCACTGGCATCACCAGGAAGAAGACTTTCAAGGAAGTGGCCAAGTGGGTACCCTGGGTATGCCCTCCCACTACATACTTCCTGTGGGACCTTGTGTGATGAGTCCGGGTCCCTGCCAAGGGAGGCCCCACCTCTGTGACTGGGATGCCCACATCACACCCTTGCCCACAGCGCAGTGAAGATCTCTGCCTCGCTCATGGGCACAGTGATGGCAAAGCGGGTGAAAGCCACCATCCTGTATGGCTCTGAGACTGGCCGGGCCCAGAGTTATGCTCAGCAACTTGGGAGGCTCTTCCGGAAGGCGTTTGATCCACGGGTAGGGCTGAGCCCAGAGGGGAGGGAGCTGAATGGGGTGGGGGCTCTGCCAGCATCTTCAGAGGTGCTCTGGAGGACAGGAGGGGGCCACAAACCAGGGCTCGTGAAGACCCTTGGCATTCACAAGGACCCAGGGATGGAGCCAGGGTCTGAATCTTGCCCTGCCTGACAAGGAGGCCCAGTGTCAGGACAGGGCAGCAGGGGACTGAATCCCTGAGAAGTCAGTTTTCTCCTCACCCACAGGTCCTGTGCATGGACGAGTATGACGTGGTGTCCCTTGAACATGAGACCCTGGTGGTGGTGGTGACCAGCACATTTGGGAATGGGGATCCTCCGGAGAATGGAGAGGTGAGGCCTTCCAGGCATATGGCCACTGGGAATGAGGAAAGTGGGTGATGTGGCTGGGCACGTGCGCGCGCGCGCACACACACACACACACACACACACACACACACACTCATGGCCCAGGGTAGAAAATGCAGATGCCAAGGCAGCTGCATGTGAGTGAGCATGAGTGGACCTGCCACCTGGAACCCCAGCCTCTCCCAGCCAAGCCCCAGACCCCGACACACCCCACACCCGCTTAGCCGTGTCCTGAAACTGTCTCCATTTCAGTGCAAGTTTTTAAAATGGCAAAGACAGTTTCTGGCTGACCCAAGAGGTCAGATCGCCCCTGGGTATTGACAAAGTAAAAAAAAAAAAAAAGCAAGAGCCCACTCAATCACCTACTTCAGCTTTTCTTTTTCTTAACAAAAGAGCACTGTTTATATGCCAGCCAAGATTAGACAACTTTACTTGCTCAACAACTCTTAAACACAAACCTTCCCACCTTCCCAAAGGCCTTGCTGTTAACCATCAGCTTATGTATCTCTAGGACGCCTCAAGCTACACACATTTCAGGCCCTCTCATCTGCTGAACCCAGGTGTTAAATGCCTTAGTAGCCACTAAGTACCTCTCCAGTATCCTAAATACCTTAAAGCAGCCTTGAATTCTGACACAAGTCTTTAAGACGCAGCCCTCATTTAGATCAGCCTTTTAAAGACAAATAACACCTGCCTTAGCATCTGCTCCACATATGGTGAGACCTCCTTGCTACATCCTGCTTGGCAGAGGGCATCACATGGCAAGACAGAGCAGGTGTGCCAGAGAGAGCTCGCTTTGTAACAAAGCCACCCTTGGCCTAACCCATTAACCCCACTCCTCGTGGGTGGAAGAGTGAGGTGGTCCGCAGGACTCAATCACCTCCCAAAAGCCCCACCCCCAAATATTACTAAAATCCGACTTTTAGGTTTCTAACACATGAATTAACTTGTATTTGCATAAAAATGGTCCATCCACCCGTGCAACCCACAGTCTTAACAAGATAGAACATTTCCTTCGGCCTAGGAAGTTCCCTCCTCAATTCCTCCAAGTCAGTCTTCCCAGTCTGACTCCCTACTGCAGTTGGGATCTGTCATGAAAGATGGCTGGCTACTCCTCCCCCAGGATGTCATATAAATGGAAGCATACAGTACTGTGGCTTCTGTCACTCAGCCTGTTTTATGAAATTCGCCCACATCGTTGCATGATTCAGTACTTTGTTCCTTTCTACTGCAGAGTGGCGTTCACTGTGTCACTACCCCAGCCTGTTTATCCATCTCCTGCTGATAGACAATTTGGACTGCTTCCAGGTTGGGGCTATTATGAGTAAAGCTGTTATGAACATTATTGTACCAGGCTTTTGTGGGTTTATGTTTTTATTTCTCTTGGGTAAATACTTACTAATTGAATTTCTGGGTCATAGGGTAGACCTAAGTGTGACTTTTTAAAAAAATGCCAAATGGCCAAATAGATTTGTGCATGTCAGTCTTACTCCAAAATTTTAAATGAAGTAAATATAGGGATATTATCCCACAGAAAATGGGGCATATTCATCAAAAAAATGTGAATAAGAATATTTATAGCAGCATGGCTCACAACACCCCACACTGGAAACAATTCAAATGACAATCAGTGACAGCCTGAATAAATAAATTGTACATTCAAATGTGATGCAGCGGGAAATGTGGACAAATTACACCACACACAATACCGATGAACCTCAAAACAAAAAAGTAAAACAAGCTAGAGAGAGGGGCCGGGTATTCCTCTCACTGGTGCTGCTGTCTGCCTCACAAGCACAAGGTCCTGAGTTTGATCCCCAGTACCCCCCACAAAAGCCAGAGAGAAAAGAACAAACATTATAGGATTCACTTTGCCTAAAATTCAAAAACAGGCAACACTAATAATCCACGGTGTTAGAACTCAGAAGAATGGTTGAGCCCTCCAAGGTTGGGGGCACGAAGGTGACTTCCAGGATGCTAGGGATGGTTCTGGATGGGATGCTGATTACACAGGTGTGTTTGGTTTGTGAAAAATCTATACAGCTATACATTTATGACAAGCATGCTTTTCTGATGTTACACTTAAACAGACACAATTCAAATCTCACATGCTAATTGTGGTGAACCTAAAGATCGTATTACCAGTTAGTATTTAGATGTGATTTCCTTTTTATTTTCCCATGTGAAGCTTTCCTGTAATTCTAAACGATTTTCATGGCAGCATGAAGGTGTATGGTGCAACCTCTGGAGGACCACGGCACTGAGTCCTGTCCACCCATGAAACTGGCTAACTGCTCACACTCAGTGCTGTATGAATGGGAAAGAGCCTTCCCCTAACCTGCTGCCACAAGCACAATTTAACTGCCCCATCTAAGTTTTACACCAAGGGCCACCTGCTTGAGACATGCAATGGGGATGCAAGGTGTTTGTGTATAGGGCTCAGGTGGGCACTGTGCATGACTTCCCAATGCCCTCAGTCAGAGGAAAGTGATGCATGCTGCTACGTGTGAATGGGATATGATGTAGCCATAGAAAGAATGGGGTCAGGCTTGATGTATTGACCTGACAATAGGTTATTAATAAAACTAGAAGTATAGTATGGTTCCATTTCTACTTTTTAAAGACTATAAACAAACACAAGGACATAAGTACAGCTTAGTCCCCAACTCAGGATGCTTTGACTTACAACTTTTTACTTTATGATCATGTGAAGCAATGTGCATGCATTAGAAACTGTATTTCAGATATTGAATTGGTATCTTTGCCCAGACTACAGATATGTGGTAGGATCTTTCTTATTTTTTATTGCAGATTGAACCCATGACCTTTATTTCTTTCTCTTTTTTTGGTACTGGGGAATCAAACGGAGGCCCTTGTACTTGCAAGGCAGGCAGTAGAACCACTGAGCCAAATCCTTGGCCCGAACCCATGGCCTTTGCACTGAGCTATACTTCAAGTTCCTTTTTTCTTTTCTTTTCTTTTTTTTTTTTTTTTTTTTTTTTTTTTTTTTTTTTTTTTTTTGAGACAAGGTCTCGCTAAGTCACTAAGTTACACAGGTTGGGCTCAAATTTGTGTGTCCTCCTACTTCAGAGTGCACCACCACACAGAACTCATCCAGGTAGTTTAAACTGCTGCATAGTTTGAAATAAAGCCAAACTAACTGTGATGCAAACACTTCCCTGGGCAGAGTTTTGCAGCCGCCCTGATGGAGATGTCTGGCCCCTACAACAGCTCCCCTCGGCCAGAGCAACACAAGTAAGTGGCCACAGCAGTTTTGGGGAGGCAGGGAGAGAAAAAGGAGGTCTGAGTAGCACGCCCAATATACACAAGGCCTCAATCTTTCCCCAACCAGTGGACAAAGCAAGGCCTGGGGACCACACTGGCTCCTGGGGGCCTCTCTCTTCCTCCCTGGGGATCTGCTCACCCTGGGGCCGCAGGACACTGAAAGCCTGGATAGTCCTGTGGTCCCTTTCAGAGCAAGGGGAGGCAGGCAGAACCCTCAGAGCTGTCCCTCAGTCCCTCCCAAGGGCAAGGCCTTTCCCACCCAGGCCAGGCCTGATCCACATCTCCAGTTCCCTGTGACACCCTTGTCTTCCCTCTCTCTTGCCAGGAGCTACAAAATCCGCTTCAACAGTGTGTCCTGCTCAGACCCGCTGGTGTCCTCTTGGCGGCGGAAGAGGAAGGAGTCCAGTAACACAGATAGTGCAGGGGCCCTGGGCACCCTTAGGTTGGGAGTCCTCACCAAAGGGGGTGGGTGGGGGCAAGCTGCCCAAGCAGACAAGGGCTGGTATATGGGGGGCTCCAGCAGCGACTCCCTGTACCCCAGGTTCTGTGTATTCGGGCTGGGCTCTCGGGCATACCCACACTTCTGCGCCTTTGCCCGGGCGGTGGACACAAGGCTGGAGGAGCTAGGTGGGGAGCGTCTACTGCAGCTGGGCCAGGGCGACGAGCTGTGTGGCCAGGAGGAGGCCTTCCGTGGCTGGGCCCAGGCCGCCTTCCAGGTGAGCCTCTGATGTCCCTAGCCCCGACCCTGTCCAGCCCTGCACTCAGCATGCCACCTCTCACCAAGCTTAGACCCAGCCTCCATGTCTTTACCACCAGGCCTGCAGTGATGAGGCTGGAAGCTCACTGCTCCCCTGGTCCTGTGTGGTTCTCTAGCTCCTTTCTGTTCCTTCCATAATCCACCTTGTATCATCATGGCACAGCCAGCCCTCTGGGCTCAGTTCCAAGTCGTGGACAACGTGCTCTATTAACAGGAGGTACAGTGCCCAGGTGAAAGTGTGGCTCAGAGTAAGCAGGGAGGGCCTGGCAGGGCACAGGCTGAGCCCCATGAGTGGGCCCACAAAAGGAGGGCAGACAGTATGGTAGGAAAGAGAAAGGGAGAAGGTGAAGGCTGAAATTGAAGCCAGAAAAGACTTCAGGCTATCAGAGGCCAGGTCAGGGCCTGGCCTGCAGGGGTGTTCCTGGCCCATGGAGGGCCCCACTAACTGACTGTAAACCTGAGCTCCCCCACCCCACCCCAGACAGCACTTCCTATCTGGCAATTCCACCTGGAACTGGGTCAGGGAGGAGCACATGCTCCTCCCCCTCCAGTGCAGGAGGACCACCCATCCCTCCATTAGGCTTGAGCTCAGCAGGTCTGGGACCATGGCTGAGAGGACGGCTCCTAGGAGGAGGCAGAGGGTGGGCTTGCTGGGGAGGTAGCCAAACTGGAGAAGCAGCCCAGACTGGCAAGAAGGGACTGGAAAAGAAGACTTTTGAATATGCATAAAAGGAGCCACTGAAAGTTTCAGAGCAGGGCGAGACCACAGAATCTTCAGAAACATGATATTGGGGGCTCGGGATCAGTTAGTGCATCGTAGAAGCAAGATGATAGGGCTCAGGGTCAGTAGCTGTGGGGATAGGAAGGAAGGGAGAGGGGCGGAGGAAGGAAGGAAGAGATATAACACTGCACACCACAAAAGAAACAGCAGCAAGACCCAGTGATATGGGGCTCAGCCAATCACAGACCAGCCCAATCTCAAGCCTGGTTTGGTGTACACACCCTCCTGCTGGCAGTAAGCCTTGCTCTCCACACACACCAGCCATGCTGAAGGCTTTGCATAAAGTACCTCATTTCACCTTCACGGGAACCCAGAGATGTCAATGTGGGGAAACTGAGGCATGCACTGCCCTCATCCTCCTTCCTGCCATCAGAGCTGTGCACCCACAGGAACAACCTCAGCCTCCCTGGCTCTTGTGGCCACTGGAGGAAGAAAAGAGGCTGTGAGGATCCCACAGGTCCAGCTCCACCTCTCCATGCTCCCTGGTGGCAGGAGGTCCTCAGCAGTCACCAACTTCTCCCTCAGGCCGCCTGTGAGACTTTCTGTGTGGGAGAGGATGCCAAGGCTGCTGCCAGAGATATATTCAGTCCCAAACGCAGCTGGAAACGTCAGCGGTACCGGCTGAGTCCCCAGGCCCAGGGCTTGCAGTTGCTGCCAGGTGCGGTCTGGACCTCACCCATCCAGCTGGCTGGAGGTGGGGGCAGGGCTCACTTACTCAGGGACCAGGCCATGCTCCCTGGCTCAGGCTCTTTTTTTTGGCCCCTGCCCACCCTAGGCTTGATCCATGTGCACAGGCGTAAGATGTTCCAAGCTACAGTCCTCTCTGTGGAAAACCTGCAAAGCAGCAAATCCACGTGAGGAAGACGCTCACCCCATGTCCCCAACTGTCACCATCCCCCAACTTCCCCCCTTCAAAGTCCCTAGACCCCAGTACTTTCTCCTCCCATGTCTTCCCACCCCACCCCCCGACTCCCTATAATTCCTCTCTCCCTCCTAGCCGGGCCACAATCCTGGTGCGCCTCAACACTGGAGGCCAGGAGGGACTGCAGTACCAGCCAGGGGACCACATAGGCGTCTGTCCCCCCAACCGGCCAGGCCTGGTGGAGGCACTGCTGAGCCGCGTAGAGGACCCACCACCACCCACTGAGCCTGTGGCAGTGGAGCAGCTGGAGAAAGGCAACCCTGGTGAGGACACAGACTGGGCACCACAGTGACAGCCTGCTCCCTCCCCAGCCCCAGACCCTCTAAACTCAACCTGACAGGATACCACTTCCCTTTCCCAGGTTGGTACCAGCTCAGAGCTAGCTGTGCCATCCCTGTCAGGCTGGCCATGTTGCTGGATGGTGTGCACAAAACACTGTCCCTTTCTCCAAACCTGTCCCCATGCATCCCAAAAGGCTCTTCCCTTCCTCTGGGCTCCGCCCTCAGCCCTCCACCCCCACCCCAGCAGACTAGCTTGCCCTAGCAGCATATCTTCTATCAAATCAATGCCCAGATGAAAGTACACTGGGTTGGGCTGGACTGAAGGGGAATCCAGACCAACTCTGTTCATCTAGGGACCCCTGAACAAACACCCAGGCTGACCAGACAGGCTCACATCACCATTCAAGGGCAAGTTCTCCAAAAATCATGGTGAGACCCAGTCAGTCCACCAAAATCAACTTCAGCCCAGAAAATACAGTTGGGGATGGGCCCCCTCCTCAGGGTTCCCTATGCACCCCTCAGGTGGCCCTCCCCCAGGTTGGGTGCAAGACCCCAGGCTGCCTCCATGCACACTGCGCCAGGCCCTCACCTTCTTCCTGGACATCACCTCTCCACCCAGCCCGCGCCTCTTGCAACTGCTCAGCACCCTGGCTGAAGAATCCAGCGAACAGCAGGAGCTAGAGGCTCTTAGCCAGGTGGGGGCCAGGTGGGGCCCCGGGTGGGAAGCAGGACCTAGGACAGAAGATGGCAGGGAGCCCCCATGCAAGGTTCTCCCTGTGCTTTCAACCCCTGGCCAAAGCATACTGGTGCTGCAAGACCAGGCATGCACCACCACACCCAGCTTTTTTCACGTCCTTTAGATGCTCAAGGTCTTAAAGGGGTGCTGGTTGGCCTGAACTGAAGAGGGAGGAGCCCTAAGCAGACTCAGTAGGGTGGGCTCAAGAAATGACGTCACCAGGGAGGGATATAGGGTCCCCTGCCCAATGCCTCCCTCCTGCCAGGACCCCCGGCGCTATGAGGAGTGGAAGTGGTTCCGCTGCCCCACCCTGCTAGAAGTACTAGAGCAGTTCCCATCCGTGGCGCTGCCTGCACCACTGCTCCTCACCCAGCTGCCTCTGCTCCAGCCTCGGTACTACTCTGTCAGCTCCGCACCCAGTGCCCACCCAGGAGAGATCCACCTCACCGTTGCTGTGCTGGCATATAGGACCCAGGGTGAGGCTGGGACCAGGGCAGTCCAGGCCTCAGCAGGATGGGACAGGCCCCTCATGGCCTCTCTCTCCTCCCTAGATGGGCTGGGGCCCTTGCACTATGGCGTCTGCTCCACGTGGCTGAGCCAACTCAAGGCTGGGGACCAGGTGCCCTGCTTCATCAGGGGGTAAGTGCAGAGGAGCATCGAGAGAACATATCTGTCTGTCTAAGCCAGAGTAGAGAAAGGTCTACATGGACAGCTGGGGGCAGGTAAGGAATCAGACAAGGGTCACACTGGGTTAGGTGGTAGCTCTGATGAAGAGTTATTGGAAGCAGGAGGGACCTGCATAACAGATTAAGGATAGGGTATCATGAGATCACCTCAGAATTGTGGCTGAGCTTTGGGCCTCACCAATTTGACTCAGGGTCCTGCCTGAAAACTGTAACTCTGAGAGACACGGCAGGGATTAGGTCAGTGGCTCTGTCTGTGAAGGTGTGACATCTGCTTACCTCTCTACATGCCTGGGCACATCCTGTGCACAGCACATGGGACTGTGGTCTCCAAGACCACAATGAATCCAGAGAGGAGAAGCCATGGTATTGCTGAGGAGATAAAGGCCCTCCCCTCCTGCTGTGTCCAGAAGTCTCACCCCTTCCAGCAGCCAGGAGCCAAGTCTCCGTGGGACTGAGAAGAACCCCCAGGCTAGCACTAGCTAGGCTCAAGGATCCAAACCTACCAGGGATGCTAACTTACCAGTAAATTACAACAAACAATTCAGTATAAGCCAAGTACCAATATTATGGCTATTATTTAAAATAAACATACTTGGTATGCCCTTATGAACTAAAAATCTGTCTTCCCTTCCCCATATATATATATAT